ACTCGGAACAACAGGAAGCTTGTGAACCTTGGTTCCACTTGTCGTTCAATACAAAAAACAATGACAAAAAAAAGACAAGAGTTGAGCTAATCATAATAACGTCCTCAAATCAAATAAAAATAAATCCGATTATATGTTGACAAACTTTGCTTTGACCAAGATATTAGCGTGTTTTTTTTTTTTGGTGCGCATGATGTCTTCTTTAGAACCTCCGTCCTAAAAAAGTTCCATAATATGCACCGTTTTTTTTTTCTCCATCATGTGAGCTGTCGCTGCCATTGGGGTGAAAGTTGGGGTGCATGCTGAACTGCAACTGTAAAAAAAAATAAATAAATAAAAAGACTGGCTTGTATTTTGAGGGGTAAAACCAAAGCGCCGGTTTTAAAATGCAAATGATTGACGTTTATGGCAACAATGTTAGTTAGGGCAATAAGACAAGCAATTTCTTTGCTTTAAAACAATTTGCTGATTTTTTCTTACTTTTATCTTTAAATGGGGGTCTTGGGGGGGGCAAATCAAATGACGGCTGTGCTGTAAAGTCTTTGTTGTGAAATGCGGGAAAGCCAAACTCCAAATTTTCAGTTGACTCGCCCAAACTAAAATTGTATCTTAGTGTGTTGCCTTGACATTTTGTGTTCACTCTTTTTTTTTTTTTTTTGATCATAAGCACATTTTCGGATTGAACGAAGACATTTGAACTCCAGACACACAGGCCAAAGCCAAGATTCGAACCCACAACATCTTCATTTATGGAATGCAAACCACCACCTTCGCGTGCTTCCACAGCAGACGTCTTTGTTAACGTGGGTGGAAAAGATTTGTGATTTCCACCAAAGCGTGTTCAATAATAATCCTCGCGGTCCCCAGGCTCTCGTGTCTTCACGTCTACAAATGAAGTGCATCTTATAAGTGACGAAAAATCTCTTCAACCTGAAGACATACACTCGACTGCACACGATTATTCGACCCCGGGGCATCATCAAGGGGGGTGGGTGGCGGGCGAGATGACGATTCGAAGGGCTCATGACGAAAACAGGACGCGAAAAGATTGTGCTTTCAATAAATAGAATTGACATGGAGAGACTTCCCACAACACCCCCTACCTCGATTAGAGCAGGCTTGTGTTTGTTTTTTTTGGATTTGTTCCAGGACCATCACCAGACTATTTAAAACTGTCAACGGTGA